AAAAAATAACACACTTTGTAAATGAAATCCAACATTACATTTGTTGCATATACCCCCTAGGTAGCCATTTTGACAGCCATTAGAACAAACCCCATCTATATGTTTACAATGTTCCTCATTGGCACAATGTCCACTGCAACGATGTTTGCACCCTTCACCAAACCAGCCATAGGTGCATACTGTTTAGAAACAATATTAGAAAGTCCACTTGAAGGAAATCTTCAAAGTGGTAACTTATATGGTTATAAAGTATGATAATTCAAATTCAAATAGTATCTACACCTTTATTACAAAAACTTCCAATATATCCTCGAGTACATCCAGAGTCACAGTGCCCTGTTTCCTTGTTACATATGTTACCTTATAAACAATGTCTGCTGCAGTTGAAAGCACAGTTTGGGCTAAAGCGTCCATAACTACATGCTGTGTTTGATATATAGTCAACAAAAATGGAATTACATGTAACGATGAAAACAAAATATCAGTAATTCTAGTCTAAATAATATTTACTCACATTCATTACACATTGTCCGAGTCCATCCTGGAGCACAACCCTCATCACAGAATCCAGTCTCGGGGTTACAGGTTTTCCCATCCAAACAATGTCCTGAACACCGAAGTCGGCAATTCTTACCATATGATCCACTACCACACGCTGTTAATGCATGTACAAGATATACGTTGAAGGATTTGAAATGACACCCAAAATTGTAGTAAAGTACTGGACTTGTGTAAGTGACCTTACGTGTTTGACAAAACTGTCCGGTCCATCCAGACATACATCCCATACATGTTCCATTTATTATGTCACATTTATTGTCTTCACAATTTTTAGAGCAATGCTTGTTGCACAATTCACCATATGTTCCCTTTTCACAACCTAAAAATATTTTTAATTGTACAAAACTTTTATAACTGAAAATACGAGGGTTGATCCAAGAGTTCATGTATTTTTTTTCTAAAATTTTATCGTGATTTGATGAAAACAAAAACATGCATATTAATAATAAATATAGAGTCATAATATAACAATATTGGAAAATTTCATCACATTCCAATCACCAGTAAGATCACTCGAGCTTTCTGAAAATGGATAGTTGTGAAACTCGGGGGAGATTTCGACGTAACGTCAAATTAGATATGTCACGTCACGACATAAAAGCTTCTCAGCCTCATGTCCGATTCGAGTACGTTATTCTACAAATTGCTGCACCTTTCCCCATTCTTTTTCCTAAGAAAAGCCTGGGTATCCTTCCGCACCAACTTGTCTTCATTCTTCACTCATATTTCAAAATACTCCCCATTTTTCCATATGATGTTCAACTTTCAGTTGCAATGTCAAAAACAGTACGTCAGCCGACATTGTTTATTTACGCTTTTAATTTGTCTAGGGGGGGGGGTAAATAGTTAAAACAAGGTCTCAAAAAGGCCGCCACACGTTTAATCAACGTCCATGGAAGTTCTATTTTTCTTAAATTTCTTAATGCTTCTGGACAACCAGTAACTTAATGCATTTTCCCCAGCCTATGTCAATAATATAAGCGTTTAAGATAGAATTATCCCAGGATTTTCACAAAATTTATGGTTTCATCGAAAGGATGACTGCACTTAACGCTGTTTTGGGGTCTTTTTCGATTGCTTCTGTTCCTTTTAAATGTTAACTAAATTTCACTGTCATATATTTTCTTCAGAAGTATGCCCATTTGACACCTAATAAAAATGTTAAAAATAATTTAAGACTGTAATACAATAATTAATTTCATGTTTTTTGTCTTTACGGTTTTCCGAATACAGAGAATTTACATTTATCTGCCTATGATTAAACATCTATGTATGAGATGAGGAGCTAACATCGTAATAATGGATCTAAAATTAAACTGGATGAATAAAAATGACATGTATTGAAAAATATGAGATCTCTATTTTTCCTCTTGCTATTTATTCTGTATGGCACAAGTAAATTATTTACAAAGGCTTAAAACATATGACCCCATCCATGTAAATGAAGAATATACTTTAAATCAATGGCTAACTATTCAACGTGTTCGATTGATTGATTGTTTATTGTTTAACGTCCCTCTCGAGAATTTTTCACTCATATGGAGACGTCACCGTATGCCGGTGAAGGGCTTCAAATTTAGACTTTTACTCGGCACTCAGGGCCATTGAGCAGTAAGGGATCTTTATCGTGCCAACGCCTGCTGTTGACACGGGACCTCGGTTTTTAAGGTTTCATTCGAAGGATCCGCAACTTTCACTTGAAATTGCCGAGCGCATGGCGAAGGAACAGTTGCTACAAATTTTAACGACTAGATCAGTCGCGGCCGAGATACAAACTCACGACCTCCCGATCACGGAGCGAGCGCTCTACCTACTGAGCTACCGTGAACGGTCAACGTGTTCGAATACAGTGTCCTAGTAATCACAAAACATGCTATCAATAAGTCAGGTGACAGGATTTAGTTTTGACAAAATTACCTGAAGAATGATATCACGTGGTCAATTATAATACTCAACGTGTCACAGCCCTTGGTTACAGCAGAGAGAGCTAGTGTAAGAATTAAGAAGCAGTTTTTTTCACTGTTTAACCATGAGCGCATGTTTGTCTATTAATCTTCTTTAAAAACAACATTACGTATGCAAATATACAACTGCTGTTAGAAGGAAAACAATAGACAAACATGCGCTGACTATGTATAAAGCTAGTTAAGAAACATTATCGTTCGGAGAAAAAAGAACTGGTGTTGACCCCAACCTCAAAAAACAGATTCGTACATTGTAAATACATGTACATACTTTTATTTATTGTAATTAAGTAAGCTGTAGGTTAGATGTTGACCATTTCTGCAATTGAAAGGAAAATGTCTGTTTTGAAAGTTTATTTTGACGTAAATTTCGCATATCCTTAAGTATAGTCATCCTTTGACGTTGTCTAACAATTTAGAGATGAACAATAAATTATCGACTAATACACTAAATATCCAGTAAAATCAGTACAATCTTCACACAAAGGTTAATAAAAAAAATCAAACAATCGTAATAATGACATAATTTTCCTTTTTTTGTACCACATAGGTCGGTATTATTCTAATTTCACGTATTAAGAATTAAAATGATACTAAAAGCGTTAATGTCTCCTCCGCGTTTCCAAACATCCGTTCCTATGGCTATTGCCATAGAGTTACTATCATAGATATTCAAAATGTCTTTTTATTTAAAATATTCAAGTGTCTATATTCTCATTTGTAATTATCAATCAAATTCACTTATAAATAAATAAAATATGACGAAATTCCATGAAATTTTGGATCAACCCACGTATAAGAAAAACATAAGCAAGAAGATGGAAATATGATGTTTCAATGTTTTAAAAATAAAGCAAAAAGGAAAGTAAGATAAAAGAAGATCCACTGTAACACAAGTTGTAGAACAAGTTGTCAAGAAAAGGTAGAATTGCGACATTAGCTAGAAGTTCTTGGCTCTGTTTTTGTTTGTTAAGGGGGCGTTTACCGATATTTTAATAGCTTTAACGTCCCTCTTGAGAATGTGCCACTAATAAGTAGACGCCACCACTTGCCGTTGGCGAGTTTTTGGTCTACGTGTATACTTGGCATTTACGGCAATTGAGCAGTGAGGGATTATTTTTTTGGTAGCACTTGCAGAGCAACGGAGAGCTCAGTCCACTCAGTTTCACCCAAAGGCCCGGTTTCCACAGGGAAAAACGATAAAATTAAAAGAGCTCATAAAAGAACTCATAAAAGTGAAATTGTAATAAGCATGAATTATTTTAATAATTCATACCCACAAAATTAAAAAAGTAGAATATTTTCCTGCTATTTTAATTCAATTCTACATACATGTGTAAACAAATACTTCTTATTTAATTAAAATAGTAGAATACAGAAGGCTCATTCGAGATTCAAGATACGAGATTCGAAATACGAAATTCAAGATTCGAGGTACGAGATTCAAGATTCGAGATTCGAGATTCGACATTCAATATCTAAACTGACCAATCAAAATGCTCAGTAGACAATGGTTAAATAATTAACCAATCAGGTTTTGTCTTTTAATTCGTTAATACAAATCATGTGGTGCAATGGATGCAAAAGTTAAATGGATCACAGTCAACCGAAAAGATGATGAATATACATTCATCATCTTCAATGATATATTTACCATAGCGGAATTGGGAAAGTAAACTTTTTATGATCATTATGTCAATATTCGATTTAGTGAGGGTGTCCTATTTTCCCGCGCATAACACATAACATGTGCTAAGGTGATTTTCAAATTTGTGTGTTTTCACTTTTACTAATTCGGATCTTAGCTGCAATAATGCATCCCTCTTCGATTTATTAAGCTGAATTGTTAACTTCTGAAATTTCTCACAAGAAACAACCAATCTTCAAGAGTCTAATTAAAGAAAAATACACTGAACGTATGAATCATGATTTCAAAACTATTTGGAAAGAGTATGTTAACAATATTTAATTGAATCACACCGAATCTACAAATGATAAAAATGCTACATACAATGTCATAGTCACGAAGTTTAATTTGCTCAAACCGATAATAGGTTATATTTGATTATTTCTGAGTGAGGGTGTCCTATTTTCCCGCGCATAACACATAACATGTGCTAAGGTGATTTTCAGAATCTGAATGTCTTGTGTGTTTTCACTTTTACTAATTCGGATCTTAGCTGCAATAATGCATCCCTCTTCGATTTATTAAGCTGATGTTTTCTGGAGAGGGCTATAATATTCTTCAGCATCTCCGTAATATATTTTTAAATATGGGCGACTGCAGGCAAAATAAATTGTTTTTACATTCAATTAACTTCTAATAAAACGAAATTTTTATTCACTGTCAATAACACAGTCCCTTAAACGCGAAAATCGTGTGAAAATATGTTTTTTTAACCTTATTTGGGATTTTACTGTACATACTAATTACTTGAATTTGGATCGGGCTTGACATTCCTAATATTTGGATTAAGTATGGCGCCTAATGTGAAGTGGATAAATTTTGGGAAGAAATAATAAGTTATTTGGATGTGCCCTTAAAATTGATATCGAAATCGGAAACGGGAAGATGGGCTTACGCGTAGCTAATGTGCTTAGAGCAGTGGACGCAAGAACTCGCAGTCCGCTGAGCCTGAGACTCTCGATACACGGCCTTATATATAGTGTGAGTACATAAATAAAAGAAATGGTCAGCCAACCATGGAATGTTAAAGTACACCTTTTTGGATAAAATAACAGATGATAAACCTATCAGATAACATTTAAGATATAAGGTTATGGAATTAAAGGCAATATGATCAACAAGTGTAAATAAAATTGACTTAAACAGGTCCAGTCCAAAGTAGCTACGTAGGTATTTCAACCAACCCAAAGTAGCTATTTTTACCTACTTTTTGTATTATCTAGTCTACATTTTGTGGCCAAAGACTGAATGGCGCAACATGTTGAATACCATATTTTTTTTATACAGTCACACTAATGATGAATACGACAAAATTTTGTCCAAAAACTGATTACTTCCTGAATTGGCAATTTTACATTAGTTTCTATACAAATTGATAATATATACGAAGTAATCATTTCTTGGTCAAATTTTTGTCATATCCATCATCAGTGTGTCTGTATCAAGAAATTTGGACTCACCATGTTGCGCTGTTCCTGCATTTGACCACAAAATGCAAGTAAAGCAGAAAGTAGGTAAAAATAGCTACTTTGGGTAGGTTTAAATACTTACGTAGCTATTAAAACGTAGCTATTAATAGCTACATAGGAAGAAATAGTCTTTGGACTGGACCTGTTAAAACATGATGTATGCAGGTACACATAACATGTAAACTATGGACTTAAAGAAAATACATACTATCTTTGTTCTATGTAGCGAATTTTAATGGTTATTCTTAGATATAATAGTAATTCAAGGGCTTATTTAATATTGGGATAAATTATTTAGATAAGTATGTGTTTTATTACAAGTTGTGATGAAGACATGCAGGAAAAAATAACCATTAGGCCATAATAAAAATTTTCCTAGATTCTCATCCCCGCCCGCCCTGATTTTATACCCCCGCCTCAATTTTTTTTATTTCTGTTTTTCTTCGTCTCAATTCTGATCGGGATTGGTATTCACCTTCCATTCTACTTTCGTTTTAAATCCCGCGAAAGTCGACATGATTTTGACAGCTGAAAAGATGGTAATTGCTGTAATACATTCGTATATATTTTAAACAAGGGTCATTGGTTGAAAAAGATTGGTGATGATGTGAAGTAAGAGATAATTGAACCTTTACTATGACGTTTATTGTATTGTAGATAAAATTACACCGATTGACCAGGTCAATAAAAAATCTACAAAATTTAAAAAATATAAAATAAAAGCGCCCGCCCGCCTGGATTTTTAAAAAAATTCGGATGAGAATCTAGCAATTTATTTATTATGGCCTTACATGGATCATTCTGTATATTTTTAGATCAGTTTATGTATATCACTCACGTACTTGCACCATTAAGGAGATCCTAAGGAGTATGTTGTATCCCTCTCCCTAAAAAAGCAGGGGGAGGGCTACATCATTGAATTAAGTTTGAGCTTTACTACATGTATTTGAAACAGAGTCATTCGAATGCTTGTTTAAGTAAAAAAAAAAGTCGCACAAATCCAAATGCATAAATGAATGTGATTTAAACCAAATGGACTGTTTACATTTCAATTTTCAACAAAAATTAAGTGTAAAAAATAGGAAAAGTTTGATTTCTTTAAACATGTTAAAACAGACAGATAATATTCAATGAAAGTCTAAAATTAGAATGTATATCAATATGTTAGCAAAGTGAAATAAACAAATTGAAAAAAAAAAATTAAATGGAAAGTATCAAATGCATTTAAAGATTTTTGAATTGAAAGATCTGGACAGAAGAGTTATCCTTTATTTTCCAAGGGCTGAAAAAACCTGGTTGTGATTTGAAATAATGATTATTTTTTTCCCAAATGTAAAAATTTGAACTTATATTAGAGTATTAAGTTTTTAAAATTGAACGATATTAAAAGCAATTAATGCACAAACAATCACTTTCAAAGATTTGTCTCATTCAGAGCAATTGCGTTCACCTAAAAGGTCTGGGACTATACAACAACTGGCTAATGTTTTACCAAACAGTTACTTCTTGTATTAAATAACAAAGAAGTCCAGCATGTGTTAGCATGATAATTGATTGGTCATAATTTAGCACAATGTAAGGTAATAACATTTATCTACGCTTCACCGCACACTATGTGCTGTACAGGTACTCGAACAATTGAAATTTGAAAGCTCTTGCTTAAAAAGTCTTCAAAAGCAAATTTAAAAGCTATCTTTTACAAGGTTTGGTTTGTTATTTTAATGGCCATAGTACATTTATCAGTATTATTATTTATTTATGATTTTTTCCTGTCTATTTAAATCAAATGCTTATTTGTGAAAACTAAATTGAAACAGCTTCAGAGTGTTATTTTAAATGATGTGTGTACAAATTTTGACCCGACAATATTTAGTCATGCAAATCAAAACAATACTTCAAACAGAAATACATCATAATGTGGAGGTATTTCATTCTACCTCAACTAATCAGAATCAACTTTTAAATTTTCAACTCTAAACAGGTATGAAGAAACTTGAAATTTCAAGAATTATTCAGGAAAACGAAAAAAGAATACTAGTATCTAATGAGGTGCATTAATTACTTAACCTTTAATTAAGATTAAGTGAACATGGTGAAAGGCCACTGGAGTTGTGTAGTTACTGTTTATAAATATTCATATATTAAATGTGAACTTGATAGCTTAAATTTGATTTTTTTTTCTATAGCTCAGGCTTTTCCCGGTGCCACATCACTAGCATATGAAGATGCCCTTGAAAAAGTGATTATTCCTAATAAGGATGGAGTATTTAGAATTCCAGAAGATGGATGGGACAAAAGAGGAAGAAAATATTTTGTAGTTGAAGGTTATTTTATTATACATGTATTTAACAATGTTTAAATATTTTTTCTGATGAATTTTTTTCTCTCTCATCAATCAGTTGATTCTAAACTAGTTAAATATTTTCAAATTAATTATAATTATGAATATCTTTTTTTGTGTGTTTTTCAATCAATGAAAAGTACGGCTCACAGTACATCTAGTTTTTTTTAACTATTTGTATGTCAAGCAGTTGTTTCAAAAAACTTTGAATGAAAATTTGTTTGCATAAATCCTAATTTTATTATTTAATAGGTAAAGAAGGAGAGCCTACACGAGATGAAAGAATAAAAGATATAATGAAAAAAATTAGAGAACAAAAATCACATCCCCAACCACAAAAGGTAAATAAACAATGTAATATTGTAATGCATAAATGTCTGCATTGGCTTTTTATACCAATACCATTTCTACTTGAGTTCATTACAGCTTGTCAGTATTTTTGAAACTGGTGAACAAGCAGAGTTCTTGTTACTATACTAGTTAATTCTGTTCTGTCTGTCCTTCTGTGGCACTTTGCATTTAGCTCAGTTTAAAGCTCAGTCTCAAAGAAACTATTCAGGATATTTTATCAAACTTCATATGTTGGTAAATTTGATGAGAGCTATGCAATTGCACCCTGAGGCCACAGGCTGAACAGTGTATGGAATACAAATTATACAACCCAGGCTGAATCTTGTGAACCCTTGATTTGACCTTGATAACAAATATATTTCATTTGTTCCCAAATTTATTAATTTTTTGTAAACAATGAGTTCAAGCAACGCGTGTTTCAACCTACTGATAAGATTTATTACGTACTACAATCCATCCAGTGAGCTTTTCTGATCAAAATTTGTCTGTTGACGTTGTCGCTGTTGTCTTCTTTATCTTTTCACATTTTCATCTTCTCAAGAACAACTGGGCCAAATTCAACCAAACTTGCCACAAAGTATCCTTGGGTGAAGAGGCTTCAATTTTTTTCTAATGAAGGGCCAAGCCCTCTTCCAAGGGGAGATAATTATGAATTAATGAAAAATTATTGGCATTTTTAAAAAAAAATCTTCTCCAGAACCACTGTGCCAGGAAAGATGAAACTTCTTCGCAAGTATGGCAAAATTATACATGTATGTTTTATTGATTTAGGGACATTCTCAAGTAATAAAAAAATTAAATTCCCCCTCCCCAAACATGTAAACTTTTTAATACTGAGCTGATTTGTGTTTATTAACTAGCCCATGTGCTCAGGTGAGCGATGTGGCCCATGGGCCTGTTGTTTTTCACCATCGGCTGAAGTTAAATGTATGGAAATATATACCAGACTCTGTAACAAATCAAAGCGCAGGTTACAAGCTAGATAGGAAATAAATACGTATACATGTATATATATAATGTATATGTATAAATGTCTTTCATAATTAATTTTATTGTTTAAAAATTTTTATTGGTAATGGTGATTTTTCATGTGTACTTTTAAAATTTGTTTGTAGAGAAAGATTGAAACAAAAACCTTCAATGAAAAGTACACAAGAACTAGGAAACCAAAAATTCGAGTAGGATGGCGCCACTTCAAAAATGACAGCTTCAAACAAGTATTTTTTAAAGATGGAGGGGGTGTCCGTGAAGTTTCCTTGCCATCGCTTGAGCTTGAAGTAGATGATGTCATTCCACTTGCAAAAGAAGTTTTTTTTCCTAAAGGGGAGTGTAAATATGGTAACATTAGTCAGATGGAAGTATGCTTAGGGGACTATGCAGGAGAACAATTGAGGAGTTTTGAAATTCAGGGAGATGACAAACAGGAAGATGATAAACAATTTCTCGGAAAGTACTTAAAAGCCCAAGGACTCCATCTTTCAAGATGCACATTTTACTTGATGACGAAGGAAAAGAATTCATCAACCAAGAAGACTTCAACTAATGATCGGGAAAGTTCATCTTCAAAACATCTTGGCATCATTGACAACCAGAAAAGAAGAAAAGTAGATGGGTCCAGTGAGCATCAGCTTGTACCAATTAATTCTGCTGGCATTGTCTGTGAAAAACAAATCATAAATATTCAGTATGTGCAAGAAAGTTCCTCCAAGTATGACAGTGAAAAAAGCTCAATAAAATGTCATTCAATTTCACAGTGCCAAAATATTACATCTTTTACTGAATATGTGGATGATGATGACAACTACAATCCTTGTTTTTATGGATTTTTCATTAGCAGAATCAGAATAGGTCAGAAGTGTTTTTTAGATTGCACATTTGAAAGACACAATGGGATATTGGAAAAGGACATTAAATTCCCTTCATCCAACAATACTGTAGAAGGCATCATTCTCCATGAGCCAATTGAGATCTGGGGCTATGATGGAGATAAATTTGTGCTAGGAATTGTAGCTGCCCCTAAAGAAAATGCCAGTTTTGAGTGGTTTAAAGACAACATACCAGTAAGTAACGGGGAAAGCTGTATATACATTGTGACAGAACCTGGGATGTATTCATGCCAAGTGTCATATATGGATGTAAAACAGATGTCAAAACCTATCCAAATAGTTGAAGTCTCGGAATGTGCAAAACCTATCCAAAAGATTGAGGTCTCGGAATGTGCAAAACCTATCCAAAAGACTGAGGTCTCGGAATGTGCAAAACCTATCCAAAAGACTGAGGTCTCGGAATGTGCAAAACCTATCCCAAAGGTTGAGGTCTCGGAATGTGCAAAACCTATCCAAAAGATTGAGGTCTCGGAATGTGCCAATGAAGGCAAACTTGTTTCTGCAGAAACAAATGTATCACTGCCTAAGCCTACTTCATGTTTTGCTGCTCCAGAGGTGAAGGTAGAGGATTTGAATATAGACTATTCTACAGCTTTAGGGTCCGGGGCATTTGGGACAGTCTATAAAGGAACATGGGCAGGATCGGTTGTGGCTGTAAAAGCACTTACATTGACCAAAAGAAATCGCAACTCGATGATTGAAATGGTGGAAAAAGAAATTCACATTAGTTCAAAGATTCGTCATCCAAACATTGTTCTATTTCTTGCTGTAGCTAGAGCACCAGCTACAGTTTATCTTGTTCATGAATATATTGATGGGTGTAATATGGAAGATGCTATTTTTGATCAGGAAACAAAGCAGCTAATGGACATTAAACCTGAGCACAAATTGTTTATTCTTCGTCAGTGTGTACAGGGTGTGGCATATTTGCATGCGCTGGTTCCTGCTGTTATTCACCAAGACATAAAACCTAGCAACATCATGATAAAAAAGGTCTGCCATACAACCAAGCTTTGTGATCTAGGAGTTAGCCGCATCAAATCAGTTAGAGCTGCCAGTATGTGTACAACTCAAATGGGAACTGCCTTTGGAACACCTTCTTATATGGCTCCAGAGTGTTTACTTCATAATGAAAAAACTTGCACTCAATCCGACATTTGGTCACTTGGTGTCACCTTAATTGAATTTGCTATGGAGCAGGATGCATGGGAAGTTGATGCGGAACTAGATGCAGTTGATGCCGTTAGAAGAAAAATGGGGGGGAAAATCCTCCCTATTCCAAATTCTGATGCAATCGGTGTGCCAAACGTAGTGATGGGTGTTTTGAAAAGATGTATAAGTTATGAAAAGATCTTGCGCCCAACAGCAGAGGAGATGTTACAATTATTTTCAGGCTAAATTTTAAACATTAGGTAACCAGGAAAAAAGGAAAAGAACAAAAATCAGTTTGTTTCAATGAGTTTGTTTGTTGCAGAGGCAGGGGGTTAAGTTGTAACCATTTTTGATCAGAGGGTGTATATGTCAGTGTGTCTTGGACTTCTCTTCAGAACCAGGAGACCCATGTAAGCAAGGTTTTTTTTCCAAGTTAAGGGCCACACCTTTTTTTTCAAGTTCAGATGATTTAGAAATGGGTATGATTTGGTGGGTTCTTTTAAATATCTTGACAATCATTGGGCCAAACAGTATTCTTAAGAAATGCAAATTTATATTTTTCTAAAAAAAAAAATAAAAAAAGGGTAAAGGTGAACCTGTGGGCATTAATTTTGGCACATGGCCTGTTGTTTTATATATGAACAAATATTTTATGAGACTTGCATAAAACAAAAACTATGATGATCCTTGACTATCCATTGTCGTGCATTGTTTATTATCTTTAAACAGTTAACGTCTTACCCAGATTTTTTTTTTAATCAAATTTTGCATTTTCTACTGGTAAAGGATCAAATATATCATACTGACTGGATATTTTTATGCTTATAATATTTTTATAGTAAAAAAAAAAAGCTTGTATATGTACAGTGTACCAGTAAAACCAGTAAATAACAAATCCTTTTATTGTACTTTAAAAGATGAAGATAGGTTTTTATCACTTTGATATTTACATGTATGCACCCCTTTGAAGAAGGGAGGGCATTATAATTGCTTTGCTGCTGTCTGTTAATCTGTCTGTATGTTGGTCCAACACAGTCTTTGCAGAGGTTGCACTAATTGAAATGAAATTTGGTATACATATTTATCGAAATATGTAGGTCAAGTTCTGATTTTGGTATGATCGAACAATTTTTGACAGAGTTATGCCCCTTGTACTTCAAAAAACTTCCATTTATTTGCAGTTTCCGTTCATTTTATTTGCAGAGGTTACACAAACTGAAATGAAATTTTGTATACAGATTATATGAATATCAAGGTCAAGTTCTGTTTTGGTAACGGTTATGTAGAGTGATGCCCCTTGAAAAATGCAGTGTCTAAAGGGGTAGGGGGCATAAATGTTTCACGAATATCTTTTGTGGAAGAGGTTTTTATTTTCACTATTATGATTTTCTTAATCATCTTTTCCCTTCGAATGACCTTTTGCTATTTGTTCAATGCTGGCCTGCATTGTTAATAAATTTTTAACATTTTCATCTTTTATTTTTATCTCATTTGCTGGAACAGTTTCTTCATTAATTGTATATAACATCCAAAGACAACATGAAACAAAACTTGTGAAATGTGTGATTTGTGCTTACATGAACTAGTAAATTGATAAAATATCAAACTAACAGAGACAGAGCTTGTTCCCTTTTTACAAAGATAGCTCTTGGACTAGGTGTTTGACATGATGTTGTAAAGGATGTTGTTGTAATTGAGAATTTTCTTGTAAGTTTAAATAATTGACGAAACTTATTTTTTTTTTTTACATGTAGCTCAAGTGAACTTTTCTGATCATCTGTTGTCTGTCTGTCCTTCTGTAAACTTTTCACATTTTCAACTTCTTTTCAAGAAACACTGGGCCAATTTTTAAAAAAAAAGTTAAGTACTTAACTTACAATGTAGTACAAAGAATGCTTGGTGGAAGGGAGTTTAAGTTGTTAAAAAATGAAGGGCCTAGTCCCTTTACAATGGGAGATTAAGATTCTTCTTAAGAACCACTGGGTTAAAAAAGCTAAAACTTTGGGGTAAGGCCACAGTAGGGAATCGTCGAAGTTTAACATTATAATATAAGAGGGAAAATCTTTTTCACAAGAACAACTGAGCCAGAAAATCTTACACTTATGTGGAAGCATTTTTGGGTAGTGAAGATATTACATTCTCCAAAGGAACAAAAACAAAAACAAAAGTCTTAAAGGTTGAAATAAAAATTTAACAATGACCTTGACCTTTGACCCAAGGTCAAAGGTACTTCTACCTCTTATAGTTTTTAAGTTATAAAGTTAAATAATAAGTACGTAGATGTTAAAGGGCAATAATTCATATAAGGGGTAATCCGATCCTTTTGCATTTATACAGAGAAGTTAGGCCTAAAGACCTTTAAGACATTAGTGAAGGTTTGGTGTCTCTACAGTCTACAGTTTTGGAGTAGTAGCAATAACAAAGTTTTTCACAAAAGGGGCAATAACTTTTAAAAGGTTTAATTTTAGGGGACAAGAGTGAAATCTTTGAAACAGTTTTAAGAGTTCATATTGATGATGCATAGACATTAAGTATATGTTAAAAGACAAAAGAGATACAAAAAGAGCTTAATTTCTCAATTTTGGAATGACCTTGACCTTTGACCTTTACAAGAATTATAAGGTCAAAGGTCAATGAATCTTATGCAGTTGGTCCCATGTCTCTACAACTTCTCAATTTTAAAATTTTTAATTATTTGTAAAATTCAAAAAGTTTCAGGGGTAATAACTCATTGAAGGGGTTAGCGAATGCTTTTGCAATGAATAGATTGAAGAGTCCCCTTAATTAGTCTAAGACTTTGGTGAAGGTTTCATACCTCTGCAGTTTACGGTTTCTGAGGAGTAGCGATAACAAGTTTTTCTTGCAAAGGGGGTCGTAACTCCAAAAGGGGTCAAGGTTCATTTACGCAGGGTGAACTGCAATAATCTTTTACGGAGTACATTCTTATGGACTATAAATCTTTTCGATAAATCTTCAAACAAAAAACATGCGGCGGAAAAATAATAAAACTAGGAGACTTATTGTTCATAGAACAATAAGAGGTCTTTCCACCTTCTCTGAATTTCAATTTTGTTGTATATTTGACTCCTTAAAATTAAATTCCATGAATAAGAAACCAAAATTGTCCAAAAAGAAAGAAAAGAATGAAAATTAAAAAATTGAAATAACCTTGACCTTTGACCTTGAAAAAATATTCAAGGTCAAAGGTCAAGGGTCACAATGCAGTTGACCCCATGCTTCTACTACTTATAGTTTTCAAGTTATAAGGTTTAATAGTAAGTACAAAGACGTTAAAGGGCGATTACTCATATAGGGGATCATCAGATCCTTTCGCATTTATACAATGAAGTAATGCCTAAAGACCCTTAAGACATTAGTGAAGGTTTGGTGTCTCTACGGTTTACGGTTTCGGAGGAGTAGCGATAACAAGGTTTTTTGCACAAGGGGCAATAACTTTTTTAAGCGTTAATCTTAGGGAACAAGAATTGAATACTTGAAATAGTTTTAAGAGTACATATTAATGATGCAAAGACATTAAGTATATGTTGAAAGACAAAAGAGATATAAAAAGTGATTAATTTCTCCTTTTTGGTATGACCTTGACCTTTGCATAAATTTTATGGTCAAAGGTCAGTGAATCTTATGCAGTTTGTCCAATATCTGTACGACTTCCCGTTTTGAAAATTTTTAAATATTTGTAAAATTTGAAAAGTTTCAGGGGCAATAACTCATTGAAGGGGTTTACAAATCCGTTTGTAATGTTAAAGTGAAGAGTCTTCTTTATTAGTCAAAGACATTGTTAAAGGTTTCAAACCTCTGCGTTTTACGGTTTCAGAGGAGTAGCGATAACAAACTTTAAAGTGAAAGGGGCAATAACTTCAAAAGGGATCAAACATCAAACTTCTTGGGTCGTTTTTCGGAATAACTTTTAATGTCCAGTATCATGAACTATTCGGTATTTTGATAAGTCTTGGGGTTTAAAAAGTTAAGGGAAGAAAAAGAATAATAAACATACGCATTTCAAGAGGTCTTTCCACAGAAAGGTGGAAAGACCTAAAAAAGAATAACTAGGAGACTTATTGTTCACAGAACAATAAGAGGTCTTTCCACCTTCTTTGAATTTCAAATTTTTATATTTGACTCCTTAAAATTAATTTCCATGAAAAAGAAACCAGAATTGTCTGAAAGCATAGAAAAAATGAAAATTTAAAAAAAAATTAGAATGACCTTGACTTTTGACCTTGAAAAAATAATCAAGGTCAAAGGTCAAGGATCATAATGCAATTGACCCCATGCTTATATGACTTATAGTTTTCAAGATATAAGGTCTAATAGTAAGTACAAAGAAGGTAAAGGGCAATAACTCACATAAGGGTCATCAGATCCTTTTGCACTTATACAGTGAAGTTAGGCCTAAAGCCCCTTAAGACATTAGTGAAGGTTTGGTGTCTCTAGGTCTACAGTTTCGGAGGAGTAGCGATAACAAGGTTTTTCACACAAGGGGATATAACTTTTAAAAGGGTTGATCTTAGGGGACAAGAATGAAATCTTTGGAATAGTTTTAAGAGTGCATTTTAATGTTGCACAGACAGATAGTGTAAGTTTAAAGAGATTAAAAAAGCTAATTTTCTCATTTTTGGAATGACCTTGACCTTTGACCTTTGCATAAATTTAAAGGTCAAAGGTCAATGAATCTTATGCAGTTGGTCCCATGTCTCTACGGCTTCTCGTTTTGAAAATTTTTCATTATTCGTAAAATTCAAAAACTTTAAGGGGCAATAACTCATATTAGGGGTTTATGGATCCTTTCACAATTAATAGATTGAAAGATCCTCTCAAGTAGTCAAAGACATTGGTGAAGGTTTCATACCTATACGGTTAACGGTTTCGGAGGAGTAGCGATAACAAGCATTTCTTGCGTAAAGGGCGATAACTTAGAAAGGGGTCAAAGTTCAAACTTCTTGGGTCATTTTTCGGAATAACTTTAAATATCCAATATCAAGAACTATAAAATTTTCCGATAAGTCTTGCGGTTTCAAAAGTCCGGCAGAAAAAGAATAAAAAACATAAGCATTTCAATAGGTCTTTCCACAGAAAGGTGGAAAGACCTAATAAACAGAAGAATATTAATAGGTCTTTCCACAGAAAGGTGGACAGACCTAATAAATAGGTATTACAAATGGGAAATGTGGTAAAGAATAACATTGGCAAAGCTACTCAGGTGAGCGATGTGGCCCATGGGCCTTTTGTTTTAAATGTGAAAGTAGACATTTAATATTGTAAACAATTAGTGATTATTATAAATAATAACTTTTATGTGACATGTGCAGTGTTTATTTAGTTTTCACTTATTTTACCCATATCCGTCTTACGGGTATAAACGTCTTGTGGCCTAGTTTTAACCTAACCCAAAAATTATGCCTTTTAGCCAATCATAGTTCAGCAATCTGCCATGCTGCATTCATTGAATTTTGATAGAAGCCACACAAATTTGGTGCAGTGAAATTTGTAAGATTTTGCGAAGTTTTTTTGATGTACCTACGTCCTTCGTCTGCAAGGAACATCTAGTGACATTATATCGATCATATATCTTTGTTTGGCAGAGAACGGTGAGTGTAAACAAACGCTTTTGCACTACCCTAATTGTTAATTTTGGCTCGGCCCGCCCGTGCAGTGCGCGATCCGGTTATAACCGGTTACAAATGGGAGATGGACCACAACATGGACGACGTGAAGCGTCTCAGTGTTTGCATAATAGGACATTCATTTGTGTCTCGGCTCCAGCGTTACATGGATTCAAACTCAAGTCTCATGAATCTAAATTTGGATTCGGACAATTTTAATGTGTGGGTATGTGCCCGGGGAGGATTACGTGTGTCCCAGTTAAAGGATTTTATCAAATTTAAAAACAAACCACATGTGTGTTTTATTCAGATTGGCGAAAATGACATTTTGCGCTATGAGATGGAAAAATTATCAACGGATATCCTTTCAATAGCAAGTTATTTACACGAAGGGGTGGATATCCCAGTTGTGATTGTCGGTCAACTGTTGCGTCGTCAGCCTTGGGCGTCCTCCAGCGACTTTAATGCGAAAATCGTTGCCGCAAACAATTTTCTTAAGGCAGGATGTTCCGACCAAGAAGGAGTCCATTTTTGGCACCACAGGGGATTTTGGAGTGACCTGAACTTCCTCTGTCATGACGGGGTACACCTACAATGCCCAGGTTCACCAGTCCATGTTGTGTCTTCCTCCCCAATGCACAGATATTGGCGCAGCATTCGTTCAGCAATACTGCACTTCAAAGCTTTTCTCAGGCCAGTATAATTTGAATGATATTAATTATACATACTGATCGACAGGCTTGTCTTTGTATTTTGTTGGGTTTTTAATAGGTGAAAATGCATGAGAATGAAATACTTGATATTTGTGGGACCATACACAATTTTTCAGTATAGTGGTGACTATGCAGGACCACATGTATAGTTTTACTTTCATTTTCCCTGATCAAGTTAATACCCAGCAAACTTCTTTTGGTAAATTTTATTGTTGTGGCTTCTTTTAGTACTTATGTGGGACCATACCCATATGGAAGTGTTATTACACATTTTACAATATAAATTGCTTGGCTACTTAATTGAGTATGCAGGATCATACTCCCTTCTTATAAATACAAATGTGGGACCATACACATTTTATATTATGAATGGCATAGAACAGGTGGTGGCACTTGTCATATTTTGTTTTTAATTCTGTGCGGGACCATACGCATTTTACTCTATGAACAGTTACAAATCCTGTGTTTAGCCATAATTTGAGCTAACTATTTAATGCGGGACCATACGCATTTTACATTGTGAACAGTTCATGTTCATTTGTCATAAGTTGCTCTTATTTCTATGCGGGACCATACGCATAATTTATGATGAACATTTCATGTATAAGTATGTTCATTTTATTATCATTTGCTCTTAATTCTATGCGGGACCATACGCATATGTCATTATGAGCATTGCAAAAGTGATATAATGTGGGACCATACACATTTTGTATTATGACTGGCATCTCTCAGGTGGTTTCACTTGTCTTATTTTGTTTTTAATTCTGTGCGGGACCATACGCATTTTACTCTATGAA